TTATTTATTTATTTATGTATACAATATTCTCTCCGTGTGTATGCCTGAAGGCCAGAAGAGGGCACCAGACCTCATCACAGATGGTTGTGAGCCACCATGTGGTTGCTGGGAATCGAACTCAGGACCTTTGGAAGAGCAGGCAATGCTCTTAACCGCTGAGCCATCTCTCCAGCCCCCTTAAAACATTTTTTATGTATTGACATATATTGTATTTATATATTGTATATATTTACCATATTGCAGTGTACTTTTCTACCTCTGATTAAGATACTTATATATTGTTTGTGTATTGATATATATTTACCATATTGCAATGTATATTTGTACTTTGTTTATATTTGGAGGTCATTATCCTCATTTGTTACACAGTTGTTTATTGTCTTAGTCTTTAAGTTAGATAGGTATTGAGAATTATATAGATCAATTGTATTCTAAGTTTGTCATTTATAATTAGACTAACCAGGTTCTTTAGATACAATCTTCAACCTCTTCAAAGAGCTGTAGAAAATGGCCTTTAATCTAACTCAGAGTTTCATGGTAGTGAGACACAATTGCTCCTGGCAACACCGCTCTATTCCCAAGAGAATGTTGAGCACCAAAGACACTCCACCTGGAGCCTTTCTTCTTGGCTGAACTGGCCTTGGGGCAAAGAAATGCCCATACCTCAACCACTGGCAGAGATACAGAGTATCTGTGAATGGAAAGAACAGGACTGTCATATCCTGCCAAGACAAGGTAAGATAGTTTTGACAAGTTTCTTGCCTTTGAAAATGGTACATTTAAAGGGGGAAATGATATAGGTATGAATAATTTGCATTGGTATGGATTTTAAGGTCAATTTTATTATATGTATATGTATTTCTAATATTAAGGTATTGTGATTGTGAAGTTCATTTTTAAAATGTAATGTATAATTAGGAAATATAGGTTGTTAATGGATAATTATCAATAATAATCAAGCTTGTAGTCATGTTAGATTTTCTAGATATATAGAGATATAGTTCAGTAAGATAGGTATTCTTCATATCTTTCAAAGACTAAAGAATATGGCATTTAATGTTTTAATAACTTAGGGTTTTTCATGATAATGAGACACATCTGCTCCTGGCAGCACCAATCTACTTCAAGAAGAAGATGGGCATCGAAGAGGCACCTTATGGAGTTTGATAGTCATTTGAGCAAGAAAAGAAACTGCTCTTGCCTGGACTGTTGCATAAAATGGACAGAGAGAGGACTGCTGAACTTGCCTAAAGGTGAGATGGTCTTTTGGGGGTTCCTGATTCATGAAAGAGTCTGCAAGACATTCTGCAGGACACAGCAGAAAGTGACTGAACTGCCTTTGGAATTTTCCTGCTTCATGGAAATGTCTGCTGGAAACTATGGGCCTGAAGGCCAAAGATGGATGCCCCAACGGTACAGAGGAACTTTGGGTGACTGTCCAGGCAGCGAGATGTTTGTCATTTCTAAAGTTTTGGACTTCTTGTTTGCTTAGGTAATATTATATTCTTCTGGAGTCTTTGATGGAGTTGAAGAATGGTTATAGTTTTCCTTAGTTATGATAAAAGATAAAGTAGATATAAATATTGTAACTAATTCTTGCTTGATAACTGTTCTGTTATATGTAATCTTACTATGTTAAAGTTAAAAGCCTTTCTTTTTTGTTTAAACAGAAAAAGGGGAAATGATGGAGGAAGGTCATTGGTTAATAAAGAGACTGCTTTGGCCCTGATAGGACAGAAAATTAGGTAGGTGGAATAGACAGAACAGAATGCTGGGAGAAAGAAGCCAAGTCGGGCAGTCGCCATGATTCTCCCACCCAACACAGACACAGGTTAAGAGCTTCCCTGGTAAGCCACCTCGTGGGCTACACAGATTTTTAGAAATGGGTTAGATCAATATGTAAGAGCTAGCCAATAAGAGGCTGGAACTAATGGACCAGGCAGTGTTTAAAAGAATACAGTTTCCGTGTAATTATTTTGGGTAAAGCTAGCCAGGTGGCGGGACACAGCCCCACCGTTCCTTACTACAGGTTTTAACTTTAACTTTAACATCTAACAAAACAGGTATTAAGCAAGAATTACAGTTACAATATTTATCCACTTTATCTAAGGAAAACTATAATAATAGCTATCTATTCTTCCATCAAAGACTCCAGAAGGATGTAATATTACCTAAGTAAACAGGAAGTACATTGTAAGCAACTTCCAAAACTCTAGAATTGACATCTCACTACCTGGATAGTCACCCAAAGTTCTTCTGTACCATTGGGGCATCCATCTTCAGCCTACAGGCCCATAGCATCTGACAGACTTTTCCACAAAGCAGGACATTTTAAAGACAGTTCCACCTATATTGGCAGTTTGTCAGTCACTTTCTTCTATGTCCTCCAGAATGTTCAGAATACCATCAAGCAGTCCAAGCAAGAACAGTTTCTTGCCCAAATGGCTAGTAAACTCCTTAAGGAGCTTCTTTGATGCCCATCCTCCTCTTGAAGCAATTGGTGCTGCCAGGAACAGATGTGTCTTACTGTCATGAAAAGCCCTAAGTTCTTAAAACATTTTAAATGCTATATTTAAGGTTTGAAGAATGCCTATCTATCTGAAATTTACCTCTGTACATCTAGAAAACCTAACTAACATGACTACAAGCTTGATCATTATAGATGGGTATCTATTAACCTGTATTTCTTTTTTTAAAAAAAAGATTTATTTATTGTGTATACAACATCCTGCTCCATGTATGCCCACATGCTAGAAGAGGGCGCCAGATTCATTACAGATGGTTGTGAGCCACCATGTGGTTGCTGGGAATTAAACTCATGACCTCTGGAAGAGCAGCCGGTGCTCTTAACCACTGAGCCATCTCTCCAGCCCTAACCTGTATTTCTTAATTATATATTACATTTTTAAATGAGCTTCACAAACATAATACCTTAATCAAGATCAAAAATACATATACACAATATAACAAAATTGACCTTGAATTTGTATCAATAAACCAAGATCCATACCCATGTTAAATCTCTATAGCATATCCCCCTTTAAATGTAAACAATATTTGGGAATTTGGTCATAGTACTCTCCATACTGCTTCCTGCTGTTTATTGGGTGAAGTAATTTTTTGAGGGGTGGTCAAAGTGACCTTTAAGGGGCTCTTGGTCCATCAAGCCATATTAGTCTGGAAGCAATCCACAGGTTTTCATCTTCTGTGGAAGCAAAAGAACCTCTTTTCCAAGCAACATATACTTAGACCCATATTTTGATACCTTTAAAGTATATTTGTTGGTTACTTAGCTCCTTCACAATCAAAAACTTCAAAGAAAACACAATAATATACACAATCCAGGCTCAATGCAGGACGGTCAATGGATGTGTTAAAGGCATTTGGGGTCCATTGCTAGGAAATACTGACTTTTACATTGCTAAATGTTTTTCTGGATGCACGGAGCAACGAATAGCTGAAGAAAGTGAGCAGGAACACGGCAGCCCAGTGATGGCTGAAGTCGGTGAGCAGAGACCACGGCAGCCCAGTGATGGCTGAAGTCGGTGAGCAGAGACCACGGCAGCCCAGTGATGGCTGAAGTCGGTGAGCAGAGACCACGGCAGCCCAGTGATGGCTGAAGTCGGTGAGCAGAGACCACGGCAGCCCAGTGATGGCTGAAGTCGGTGAGCAGAGACCACGGCAGCCCAGTGATGGCTGAAGTCGGTGAGCAGAGACCACGGCAGCCCAGTGATGGCTGAAGTCGGTGAGCAGGGACCCCCTCTGCAAAAATCATGGCCTGAACATGCTCTTCCTGCCCCCCTCTTCACCCCAACCTTACAGTCTTGTCTTCTCCCAGGCCTGGCCAACTTCCTTCCCTGTACCCAAACAGCTGAGCTCTGAGACCCATCCAAGTACTGACCTTCCTGCTCTGCTAGACGCAGCTGCCTGCCACCCCTGCTGAAACCTCCCCCAGTGATGTGACCAGAGCTCGGCTTTCTATCAGTTCTTAAGTGTGGCTCTCCCTCACAAGACCATACACTCCCAAAGTCCTTTCTTTCTAGTAATATCTGAGCTAAGTCCATGATAAACATCTCTTTTTACCCAGGTGTGGTCATGTGAGGCAGAATCAGGTGGATCTCTGCAAGTTCCAAAGCTTAGCCTATCTACTACCTAATGAGTTCCAGGCCAAACGTGTTAGAAAGTGAGACTGTGTCTCAAAACAGACTTCAGGGCTGTGAAAACGGTTTAACAATCAACAAACTCACCACGCAACTGTCCCTTTACTTCTGAGAGTCATCAAGGGACGGTTTTCCTAGTGCAATACCCATCCTACCTACGGTTCTAAGGAAGTGAAGCTAGGAGCAGCCAGCAAGACGATTTGTGTAAGGAAAGAGGAGAGCCGGGAGAGCAGGCAGCACGTCTGCTCCTGGGGAAAGCCCAGAATTATACAGCAAACCATCCGCTGGCCTGGCCAAAAATGGGTTAAATTCTCCCTGACCTCGCCAAAAAGGATTTGTTCATGCTATTTCCAAGCGTTGTCCCACAAAGAAGTCACATGGCTCCCAGCGGGGCACAGGGGTTGCAGGACAATATCTCTTAGTCATTTCAGGTGTCAGCCACTGCTCCCCGGCATGCTGTTCTCAGAAATGAATATAGACAAGCATGGTATCAGCCTGGCAGGTCTTTTTAAATTTGAGCCCCATTTGGTCTACAAAGTACGATAGTAAGAAATGTCTTAGTAGCACACACACATACAAACACAAGCACATAAATATAGTTGAATATAATTTTGCATTGTTCGAGACAAGATCTCATTAGAAAGCTCCAGTTGGCCTAGAACTCACAATGGATAATTATATACTGAATATTTTAAAACAAATTCCAGTAAACATTTCATTCTATACCATTGGCTCATTATTCGAAGCCTGGCAGTTTTCTACACAAGAGGGAGCTTCCAACAATTTTCCTCATATTTACTTATACTTCAAGAGAACTGGAAATTCATAATAACGGGGAGAAATTTCATAATCTTTACGTTCTTTGTTGTTTTTCTCCATCCAATCATTCTATGAAATCAATATCAATTTTTTTTTAGCTTTTTCTAATTTAGAAACATTTTAACTAGCGCATTGTAAATGGAGGTGTTTGGAAGTTTTGTCTGAATGCTAAGACTCCAACTATGGAAGCTGAAACAACACTTACCAAAGTAAATATTCCAGCTGCCAGTAACCCAATGAGTTTTTAAGAATGCTTTTCTAAAATAGGTAGAAATTTTCCAATTACTGTATTGGAATTGTTGGAAAACTACTCTCTTTTAAATTTTCCTGGGGTGAAAAATAAAAGGAGGTTGTTGGTTCACAGTTATGGTACTATTTGCTGTACTATCAACACACTGAGTTAAATAGCAGTTATTGTTATTTAACGTGAACTAAAGGATGACTATATGTGGCCACTAGATTTTCTATTAATAACACGAGGGGCAACTATGCAAGCCTATGTGTAATATGAATGTATCAAAGGCTTATTAGCAGTGTCTCTCATATTTTCTCTCTAATGAATAATAAAACATGTACAGCCTTTGTTAGAGTTTCTGTTGCTGTGAAGAGAACTCTTACAAAGGGAAAACAATTTGGGCAGCATACGTTTTCACAAGTTTAGCCCACTATCATCGTCACGGTGCCGGAGACACTGTACATCTTGACCCACAGGCAACATGAAGAGAGATGAGACTGGGTATGGCTGAGCATATGAGACCTCAAAACCCACCCCCACAGTGGCACACTTCCTCCAACAAGACCAGACCTACTGCAACAAGGGTACACCTCCTAATAGTATCACTGTCTATGAACTTGTGGGGCCAATTACATTCAGACTCCCACAGGTACTAAGTATTAATTGGTAAGTGTTCTGAAATCCCCAGTTGCGGGTGTCTTTGACTCATTTACTTGCGCTTGGGACCCTTATCTTTAGATAGAATGGTTTATCATTGTACCTTGTTATACCATTGTATGGGATGGTTTTGTGTGTCTACTTGATACCAAGCCAGAGACATCAGGAAAGAGGGAGCTTTAGTGGATGAAATGCCTCCATGAGATCCATCAGTAAGGCATTTTTTTTTTTCTCAATTATTGATCAATGGGAGGAGGGCCCAGCCAATTGAGAGTGGTCCCATCCCAGTGCTGGTGGTCCTGGGTTCTATAAGAAGGGAAGTCATTTGGAGTAACCCAATAAGCAGCACCCCTCCAGGGCATTTGCATCACCTCCTGTCTCCAGGATTCTGCCCTGGCTGAGTTTCTGGCCTGACTTCGTTTAATAGTGAACATCAATCTGAAAGTGCAATGCAAATGAACCCTTTTCTCCCTATCTTGCTTTTTGGTAATGGTGTTTCATCACAACAATAGAAACCCTAACTAAGACACCATGTCTAGTTGGTACCCATGAGAGACCTCCTCGAGAAAATGGAAGAGGGGGAGGTTTGGGGAAAAGGCAGAGGGACTGAGAGGAGCAGAGAGAGGAGATGGTGCGGTTGGGATGAGAGAAGAATAAATAAAACATAAGTGAAAGAGAGGACTATGAACAAGCAAAGGACGATAGAATCAAAGAAAGACAATGATGCCATGATGCCATGATGTAAGGAAGTTTGCAAACTATACAGGGTACACAAGATTAATCTCTGAAACCAAATGTCCTGTGAAGTTTCCATTCTTCCTTGACTACTAAGGGATCATACAGAGAAACACAATGCAGCCTGAATGTTTCACTAGTTGGGGCAGGGAGGGGCTACACCAGGAACTGGAAGGCACCTTGTGCCCCAGGAGCCACGGACTTTAACCTGAAAATCCTATGACACATGTCTCTCAAGGCAGATAGTCCAGGCCACATCCACGGTTCCCTGCAGAGCCTTATTCACTAGAATCCTATAACCTTGAGACCTACTGTCTGCAATTACTCTCAAGATTGCAATTTTCCAGGTCCTACTAGAACAGCTGATGGAGCTCTGTGAGCAGCTTTCTACGGTTTTACCATCTAAAGTCTTAATACCTTCAACATTCCCCCAGATCCCAACATTCGCAGGTCCTTTGCAACAACAAAATCACCTTTGAGGCACTTTGTTGTTGTTCAAACTTTCTTCTCCATTGCCATCATTAAATTCTCTACCAAAAGCAACTCAGATAATGAACAGGTTTATGTGGTTGATACCCCTAGGTCACAATCCCTCCTTGTGAGAGATTAGGATAGAAACTCAAGCTAATAACTTGTAGAAGGAGCTGCGGGCTTTGTTCCTGCTGTCCGGCTCCCACACCAAGGGTTAGCTTTTGCCCCAAAATAACAACACACAAACTGTATTCATATAAATACTGCCTGGCCTTCATCCCAGAGATGCAGGGCTGGTTCAACATACACAAATCTATCAATGTAATCCACCATATAAATAAACTGAAAGAAAAAAACCATATGATCATTTCATTAGATGCTGAAAAAGCATTTGACAAAATTCAACACCCCTTTATGATAAAGGTCTTGGAGAGACTAGGGATACAAGGGTCATACCTAAATATAATAAAAGCTATTTACAGCAAGCCGACAGCTAACATTAAATTAAACGGAGAAAAACTCAAAGCCATCCCACTAAAATCAGGAACACGACAAGGATGTCCACTCTCTCCATACCTCTTCAATATAGTGCTTGAAGTTCTAGCAAT